TCTTGCAATTCTGTATTTAATATAATACTTTTTTAATGGGGGCAAACGTTTATTGCTCTTTCTTCAGTTTCTCAGTCTGTTTGACACCAAAGCAAATCAATTCTAACCAGAACTGGCATTTTTAAATATTGTGAGTTCTCACCTGTATCTGCCAGAGGCTTATTCTTTATATATAATTTCCATATTTGGCAAAATAAACCTGACAATTTGCCTCTCCACACAACTTTCACCTCTGCCTAGTGCCAAGTCGTCTTACAGTATCTGTACCCAGGGTAAAATGTACAAACAAAAAGGAGAGAAAAACAGCTTTTCATTAAAATAGTAGTGCAGCCGAGAAACAAAACATCCCTTTAAAACAAACTTTGCCAGGAAAATATAGCAACTCTGGTGTTTATGTACAGTATGTGTTTCATGCAGTGGTGATTTCAGTTGATTTGCAGTGGAGCAGCAGAACTTTGCTTATATGGAGATAGGTTTTTATTGTGAGGATGATGTAAAGGCAAACCTGGAAAACGTACCATAAATGTTATTTAGTGCCAAACAGACTTACCTCCTGCTTCCAGTGAGTCTGCATTTCATAGGTAAATGACCTTATCTTACAAGCATACATAGTGTTTTAACTACACACAGTTCGACTGAAATGATGGTTGTGGTCTGAGGTATTGTTAAATTACATCCCACATAGTAAATTATGGTTTGTATCATGCGCAAAGTTATGTGTGAAAACAAATAATATTTGAGATGAAAATCCTCTTTGGAATTTTATCGTTAAAAATGTAGAATTTATCCTGGATTTTACACAACAATTTTTGGTTTATGTACCAAAACAGCAGTTTTCAGTCATAGTATTGATGACAACACAGAACCCATACTAATATTTGTCTCTTTATCAATTCATTTAAACAAATAGCAACACTGTCAGTGTGTTACACCCCTAAGATTTACCTTAGCTAATGACGTGGCTCAGTCCATGACAGTTATAGATTAGTAGGGTTGTTAGTTTGGATTAATGTCCCAGAATTGTATTGATTAATTTTCACCTGAGTCAGTTGTTATATGATGCTGTGTTCCTCCCTTCTGCCTGTTGTTTAACACCTGATACTTGACAGACCTACACTAGACTTCATGTATAATACAGTAATGAAAGCTTATTGTGGCTTGATTTTATTCTTGGTGATAATGTACACATTTAATAAGAATCAACAGCCACATAAACTAGGACGGCCCACTGCGTCTGTCCTCTTTCTCTAGACCAGGTTCCCACACAAACTTTGGTCATTATTGCTTACCGTAGTGATAAGCTGCATCCACAGATTTTAGATAATAACAGGACAGAGACATCTGCAGCCCATAGTGGGTTCTTACAAAAGATTGCAAATGCTGTTATTGAAAGGACCTTAGTTTGTACATAAGGAGATTTTTCTTTGGTTTTTCACTAACATTATTCTTGTTAATTAAGTCAACAAACATTTGACTCGGTGATCAGTTACTTTGAGTACACTTTTGAGCATTGTCAACTACTCATACACATATACACATGTGTAAATGTGTATTGAATTATTTTCCAATGACAGACACAGTGTTTACAGTGTTATTGCCTGCCCTTTTCATTTGGTCACTACTATTACATCGGTTTAAACTTCGGGCTATGTTGTTGCTAAGCTTTTAGATACCAGTAATTTGCTAACATAGTTAATGAAAAGGGACATAATGTCTTTCTTTTAATTGAAAATTCCAACAACACAATTTAATGTGAATAAATTGGATGGAAATCTATTTCAGGAGTTACACGTAATTCATTCAGTAATTGATTTTCTCCCAGTCTTTCTGTTTAGGGTTGTGAGGTGAGTTAGAGTCAATCCCCACTGAGACAGTGAGGTGGTGTTGGTGCTGAACAGATCACCACACATGGGGAATAGTTATAAGGTTGTGTGATTCATTCTCAGGCATGAAAATAACCTGTATGTTGAAAGCCTCTTAAAAAAGATGTAAAAGGGCATTTTTAATCACCATGTATATGAATAGAAGAAACTTGTGTTTCTATAGACACATTCAATTCTAAATGTATTCTTTGGACAAAATGTCAAAGGGAAATATAAATAGGTTAACCCTGCAATACTTGTCACATAGTGACATTCTCATCTGCCTCTGCAAATTAACCCCAAGAGTATCATTTTTGATTTGCTTGATATTTGAGGTATAATAAAACAGGGGCCACAAGCACGCGGAATATTGACATTCCTCGTTTATCCAGTAATGAAATTGCTCAGCGCTGTTGCATGCTTTCAAGCATTATACTAAACTCACTTAGATTTAATCCAATTGAGAGAAGCTTCAGCTAAGGGCAGAATGATGTCAGAAAACATCTGATGAGAATGGAGTTAGAAAACGTGAAAGACAGCTTTGTTTACATTCGCCATCTGTACCCCATACATTGGATTGTGCTACATTCGTTTTTGACCATTTCAGTCATGCTTTTTACAAATACATATTTACAAAAAAAGAGGCATTGCATCTTAGAACTGTTTGACCTACTCTCTACAGGCTGAACCACTCTAAGTATAGGTGATAATGACAGGGAAATCATTCTATGGCAGTGACAAAATAGGAGAATTAATGCATTGACACGGTGGATGATATGATTACAGTCAGATGTGATGACCATCTAAAGTCTCCTACACCTGTAATGGAATGTCACTGGTAACTAATTTATCTTGGTTTATCATACAGATCAACCTCCCCCCTATTTATCAGCATATATGCCACCCATGTAATGACAGTCTCTAATACAGTTTAGGTGATTTATGAATACTGTCAGTGCTGTAATAAGCAACTGATGCATGTTTTATAGACCATTTGGTTGGATCTCGGTAAAATGTAAACTATAATTCATTAAGATATTTAAGATATGATTTGTTAATTTAGCCGCTTTTTCGGCATGAAACACCAACAACAACATTGTTGTTGAACAATGTAATATTTTAATCTGAACTTGACAATTAATCATGATTAATCGGGGGACTTCTGTTTCTTTGTTTTGTAATGTCTTCAGTGCATATAATCCAACTTCCAACTTCTTTCTATCAACAACCAGAACCACCGAAGATGTGTCTCTTGTACACTGTTCCATCCCTGAGAAACCTCAAATAAAAAAAAAGACTTAGAATTACTTCACAATTTTCACCTGGGGCGTCCTATTTGCATAATACAGTCTGTGTTTTAAAGCAGCAGCAGACAGTGTGAAGCGATAGCAATGACTATGACTTTGTTTTTTCACTGTTGTCTGTCAGTCCTTGGGCTTAAGATGTGAGACATTTTCCCTGGCATACAATGTATAAAAAACATTGTTTAAATGTCATTCATTGTGTGCCTTTATATTGTATCAGCTAACAAATTAAATAATGTTTTGTGGAACTTGAAAATTTGGATTTGGCAGCTCTTGACCTTATCACAAAAATTATATTACAAGTGCCTGTATGCAGACGGTTTTAGGAGTCACAGTCTGTACAATTTCTGCAAAAAGACACAGTTAAAGTGGTTTTGTAATACTTGCTACCGCTGCTTGTCAAGGTTGTCTGTGTTTTCTGATTAAGTTCTCTTTCTGGCTTTCAAAAGTCATAAAAAAATGTATCCCCAAACGTAAAGCCTAGTTGTACTGTGTGATATAGATCAGTTCTTGACAGATAACTATCAAAACTAGGTATCTGTTTTCCTCTCTGACTAGAAGACTTGCATGAAAATAATTTCTGCATAAGAATGCAAAGTGTGTATGCAGCAATAATTTTGAAAGATTTACAGCTTTACAAAAATAACTCGAGCTAAAAAGGTAGTATTTTACTGCAGAACTGCAGACAAAACATATAAAAAGTATGATTTCTAAGTGGAATCTTTGACCTTCCTTTGGTGAACAGAAATGCAGCTTGCAGCTCATGTTTTGTTATAGTATAACCCTAATTAGAATTAGTGTTTATTTGAAGGGCCACTGTCTAAAGCTACAATATTGACTACAATTCCGTCCTATACATAGAGACTGAAAAATTCTCCTGATATCTGGCCAGTGTTTGGCTCATGGAGCTAAGAGTTATTTTGGGACAGTGTGTCATGATTAATGGTTGAAAACAAGAAGAACTGAGGTGCTCTGTGTGTCCAAATGACTGCAGCCAACGAGCTGATAGTCCTTCTGAGCCACACATCCAAAAAATAGTGCTGGCATCATGGCTGTATTATAGAGCTCAGCTGTTACTTTATCGCATACACTCAGCACAAAGAATAACACCTTAAATCAAACTAAGAGCTGTGTCATTTGTGACGGCACCTCCCATAGTGCTGCCGCACCACTCCGATGTCATCTGATCGTAGTGGATGAAAATCCATCTGCAGGAAAATTCAGCAGCACCTTAATGGCACCTTTCTGAAACACTCTCTCTTGCAAGGATTGAATGTAGACTGTAATTGGCACACTATATCTCACCTTATCTGTTGCTGTCTGGGAGAGAACTTCAGAGACTCGTGTTATTCTGGTCCTGATGCAGAGGAGGTCACCAATGTGTGGGAATGTCAAAAATTAAAATTCACTGGGAGTCGTGGCTCTGAAGCGTCCTCATCCACTGTGCTGCCAGGTCTATTTCTGTAATGTTTTTTAAATGCTTTTGTGTCTCAGCCCACGTGAAAAGGCTTCATTCTCTTCTCTCCAGCAGGACAGTTGTTGAGTGCTCTATCACTTATCTCTGCTCTACTCATTTCAGAACACCACAGTTCATTGTCACCGGTATAAGAGGTATTAATAGATATGATTGCTCTATCCTCCACTTGTGTTTGGACTCTAAACATTCATATTTGACTTTAGCTAGTTAATTCCCTCTGCTATATTTTCTGAAGTGCCTCACTCTCTTACTCTTCTGGTGACTGATTACTAGATTAAAGGGATTGCCAGTAGTATTTACTTCATTTGATTTTAAATCATTTAGAAAGTCAGAGTTCTCTTTTCTGTTCTATTTTAGATCCAAAATGCGGACGATGTTTTGATCACACCCCTGGAAAAATTCCGTAAGGAGCAAATTGGTGCTGCAAAGGTAAGAGACCAACCACACAAGCTATTGGCTGTTGTACAGTAAAGAATTGTATATGTTGACTAGTGATGGCTCTAGACAACTTTTTCAAGCTCGATACTGATACTGCAACTGGTTTTGTTATTTTTGTTCCAAAACATCGGCGTACGTTTATGAAACCAATTTTTTTTTATGAAAATGTTTTATAATGTAGTTATTGTACACCTGCAGTATCTTGTGTTGTGTATTTACAGCAATATATTAAAGGTATAATATTAATATAGATTAAAGCTCTAACATGCATGTATTGTTTTATTGTGCTGGAAATAGGGGTTTGATGTGAGACAGGGTTTTACATGGCCATGCTTAAGGGCATTCTGGCTCCACAGTGAATTTACTGTTGAAGCTGAAGTGGACTGCAAAGAAAAAGTGTGGGTTGCTACAAGCTATGCTTTCATTTCAGGGCAAAACAAAGAAAAGAAATATATAAAAATGCAGCAGCTTGTTTGTGGTCATTCCCTTGGCAAGATCAGACGTGGTAGAATTCAAACCTTTATGCAGCTCTCCCAGCGAGTTCCTGGGATCACTACTAACTACACAATGAAATGTGAAACATTTACACAGCTTTCCCAAGCTTGGAAAATAGCTGATTGTCAAGTCCTGTCCATGTTCTGTTAAATACTGTTCAGATATAGGAACACATGGTTCTTAGTCTGCTCACATCTACAATATCAGATTTGCATACTGAACAAATGTCGAGAAGTCACTTTAAATAGCAACAAACAGTAGAACGTGCTCATGCTCAGCTTCACCCTTCACCATGTGCAAACATTAGCCAAATATGCTAAGAGGCTAATCTCTTCATGCTTGCTATACTGCATGTATTGAAAACATAGGCAGATATAGTTTATATAGTTTTAGGACAATGTCGTTTCTGACTTACTTAATTTGCTAGTGGTCTATTCAACTAGAATAAGTAATACAAAACCAGTCAATGAATTTTTAAAAAATAGATTTAGTTAGAAGTTATCCCACAACCATGACATGTTAAAACTGGCTAAGAACATTTCCTACCTCTGTCCTGAGACATGGATATAGAGTGTTACCGTTTGACTGGAGTTCTACAGTTCAGTAAGGTTAGACAGATGTCTATGTAGGTTCTCAGTCGTCAGGTCGTTGTAAAGAAGTAAGGTAAAGAGCAACTGGACTGTTTTAGTTGTATGACATATTTCAGACAAAAAAGTTTTATTGTATAGTATGACATAGTATGGTGCAGTATGTTATGATGACATACCTAGGTACATTTCTACCACTCCCTCTTCTACTATCAACTATTTCACAAGGGTTAAGTTGTTATACGAAAGGTGTGGAGTTTAACTGAGATTGGGCCTAATTTATTAACTTTATATTCCTCGACTGGGCAAAACATTATTCTGCCACCATTCTGTGCTTCGTGCCATCCTGTAAAGGTTGACATCTCCCCCTCTCACCCATAGAACATTTCATTTAAAAGCCTTGCCTCAAACATCACATATCGACATCTCCCATAGAACACTTCATAAAAGCCTTGCCTCAAACATCACATATGTACTGCAATAAAACAGAACATTTCTGCCATCTCTCTCATTCTCTCATTATTTTACACACATGCTCAATGTTATTAAACTGCATCCTCACTATGTTTAGAAAATGGTATCTCAGAAGCCACTGTCCTCATCACTCCCACTACCTCTATTTCCTGTGTCCACTTCCTCCTAATGGCTTTCCTCTCCTACAGCCCGTCCTCCGCTAAACATTAGCCCAAACTAGAGAGAGATAAAAGGCAGGCATCACGAGTGGCTGAGCAACTTTCCACTGTTCTGAGAATCTGCAGGCTGGCTGACCCTTCCAGTTACCACAATTCATGTCTGAGGACGTCAGAGACATATAAACAGGGAGCCCTTGCCTTATTTGGGTATACTATGAGTAATCCTGCTGGGGTTATGTAGCAGTGCATTGGTTTCCTAGGCACAAGCACAACACTTCCATGACCATAATGCACCAGCAGCTCAACAGGACATATTAGGTATAGTGCACTTCACCTACAGCAGTGTCAGAGAAGTTGTGTTTTCAGTTTCATATGAACCTATGTGTCTGCTGCTAAAACACAGATCTAACACGTTTACACCTCTATCACTGTTACGGAAGTAACATGCCCTGAGTTGATACATGTACTGAACACTAAATGTCTCTGTTCCACACAAAGAGGCTTCCTTTTAAGTCATTTTATTTGCGTGAGTCAGCCTTTTCTGTTGACATTATTTTCAGCTTTTGCTTTTCATCAGAAGTCACCAGAGTTTTTACACCAGAACAGAACTAGCCCTGCTAGCCTAAGCTAGACTTCTCATACCAAGCAAATAAGTAGCAGACATTGCGTTACATTACTGCCACTTTCACTACTGCACTCTGGTCTATTCATGATACAGACAGTTTCTCCTAGAATTGTGTAGCCACTTAAAAAAGATGAGAAGAAAAGGCACATTTATATTTGTCTTTATTTTTGGCAGATCCCTCGCAGTTGGATAAATATGAATAGAAGCATTGCTCTTTTCTTAAACAAATCAGATAAGTCATTTTTCTTGAGGACCTTATTGTCATAAACTGCATTTAGTCTCAGTCAAGCCAACAATGCCTGATCTAATGGAATTTTTCTTTTCAATCCAATAAGCCTCAATTCCAATATTCAAAAAAAACTATTGAAACCCAGGCAATAATTAGTTTTTGCCCCATGGGCAATCTGAATAAAAGCTGTAATAAGTCTTGTTGTGCTGCTGATGCATTATGGTCTTAAAAGTGTTGTTCAGTCTGTATGAAATTTCTTTTTGACTTTCATCTTCTTGATTTCTTGCAGTAGTAAAGCAGATTTTATCACCGATCAACTTGCAAGTAACCACACATACTGTAAATGTGGCTACATTTATTTTCTTTAAGTGCATTCTTATAGAGTCACAAATACCTATATACCTAAATGTTTATGTGGCTTCATAGTGGTTACCGGATCAGACTTTTTACCAAAGTTTATGGGTTCAAATCCTGCCCTGGTTGTCTCACATCACAGGTGCCTCTGAGAGTTACATCTGCTACGCAGAGATGGGTTAAATGCAGAGGACAGATTATACAGTATGAGTTATATACAATACTAATGATAATGATAATTGAGTCCCCTGATTATCCCACAATGGGGAAATTTACAGTAAAAGTTGTCATATTCAATGACAATTTAATTATTGATTGGTGTAAAATATAAATGAGAAAATGAGTCTTGTTCCTGGTTTTGTCACTGCTGCTCATTTCTTTGGCAAATTTCATTTTTTTTTGTTCAAGTTACTCCTCAAAAAATCTTCCACTAGCCCCATGACGTAACAGGGGGACCGTTAAAATATACATAACAGTAGTCACCTGAGTTGAATTGTGTTCGTCGTGTCACACAGGCTGATGCAAGTTTAAAAAAACATTACAGGGTAGAACGACTGCTGGCAGTGGGGACAGTTTACCCTAATTTTACTGACAAAGAGGTGTCACTGGAAGTTGAGCCACACTAAGGCCGGTGTTCTAAAGGTGCATTTCTAATATTTAATACATTTTAAACTATGAAACTGCCTGAAGCTGGTTCACAGTGAACTCTTTCTCCCAGTGTTAGCTTGTATTCCTTAACAGTAAAATCCATGACAATGTAATGTTAAGTCACCTCCTCAGTTAGGTTTAGGAAACCTAGTGCAAACCTAAGTCCCAGGTGGGACTTAGATGGGCAATGGTAATGTGAGCTGACCCCATGCTGCATTGTAGAGGCATCACATGTGTCCTGGCTGATTATGGTCTGCAGTAGCATTTAAATTCATGCAAAACCCCTAAAATATGCCAACCAAGTTGTAGTGTGGTAATGGGATCTATTAGAATGGGTTAGAAATATGTTTTTCAGCTGCGGGCTGTGCAGAAATTCAAAGCATGCATACCCTATATTTAAAATATAATTTTATATCTCATTAATTTGTCCTTGTGGTCAGTAAAGAAGCTGATATTTTAGTGCACAGATATTCCTCTTTTTATTTCTTCTTTATATTTAGGGTATAAAATGCCCGTCGGGCATCACTCCAGTTTTCTGACATTGCCTATTAATGTATTGTCCCAGGTCCTTGGTAGGTACATGAATTATATTGCGTAATTTCCTCCAGACTCCCAGTTTATGCTTATTGATCCAGAATATCAGTGTTGCTGTCAGTTGGAGGTTGACGTTAAGTGTTTGCAGGCAGCAGCCTTCTTAAAATGCACACACTTCTTACCAGTTGGAAATTATTGTCATAGTAGTGAAGCAGGTTGCCTACATAAAATTCAGGCAGTTCTTTTAATGTAAATTGTATTGCATTTTTGATCATTGGTTTAAATGTACTGCCGTATAATGGAAAACAACTCTTGTCTTAATGGGTTTTCTATTTATTATTGTAAAATCTGAACCACCAGCAAAGCCACATGTCCACTTTCTGTTGCCCTTATATATATAATATATATATATATAATTTGAAGACTCTGCATTAGAGACTTCTTATTCATGGTCACCGCTGACATCGTCCAAAGCAAACAGTAATAGAATGTGTAGTTTAAACAGAGACTCTCCTGCCTCCAAATGCTTGAAGATGACTCTGCCTGCTCATTATCCCTCAGGTTAGGTTTGAGGATCTTGACAGGGAGGAACCTATGGGATTCCTATATATAGGATCCAACATAGTTCATGTAAATCCAAAGCTTGTCAAAAGAAATTTCCATGTGATAATAAAAGATTTTGAGGATTGATCTTCAGATATCTTTTTTTCTCTCCTTTGTCTGGACCTAAACAGAAACTGCTGAGATAAATTAAGTAAATTCAGCTTCTAAGTCACTTTCATGTAAATCTTTTGATTTAACTTAAAATCTGATTCACTGGAATTAATTGTATATTTATAAAAACATCAGGGTTAAAAAAATCACACATTTGGTTAACAGTGTTTAGTTGAGCATGTCCCCTGCTTTGGTTTGGAGTTTGACAAATGTGGTCTAAGAGAAGCCCTGTTTTGCTCACTATGATAATTTATCTTTCTCTTTGTGAGATATTTAACCATCCTCTCCAGTCAGGAGGCTGTGCTCTGCAAGCTCCACTTTAATAATTACTGTACTCCCCAAAGGGGAATCATTAAGAAGTTCTAGTTCGTTCATTTGGTTCCTGTTTAGTTTCTGCTGTAAAATCCACATAAAACCCGTTACAGTCTTTAGTTTCTGGTGCTAATGTAGGTGGTACAGGGGAAACTGCCTTTATTTGTTAATTGACCAAATCTTGCTGACTCATGTCTCCTCAGGTATTTGGATTCCAAATAAAGAATAAAAAAGTTTGGCATTAAAGCAAAGCAGCTGAATTTTACCAACATGTTTCTTCTTTCACCTCCTGCTCCCGTGCCTGTAGCAGCAGCTCATGTGTGGTGCAGCATCAAAATAAAGTGGGCAGTGCTATTTAATCACCACCCTGGACCTCTGTACCAATTAGATGGCTGCACTGGGCTCACAGATGGGTTGTGGAGTTTTTCCTGTCATGTCATTGCCCAGGGTTTCCATTTAATATGAGCATGTGGTAAAATGTGCTTCATGTGATTCCTCACTGGCCTCACTAGCTCACATTGTTGTAATATTCAAAGGTGTGATATTCAAAGGTGAGCAGGAGTGAGAAAATGTGATGTGATGTATATGTCTGTTTTCCAGACACACACTCAACACACACAAGCTTGCTTGCTGCTTACATCTGTTACCATGGAGAAGAGGTTTTGAAGTGATGGCCCTGAGGCTCGTTAGGGCCAGTGTCAAAACTGCAGTTGTACGGTTTTCTCTCAAATATCCCCCTCCTCCTGTCTTCATGCCTCTACTCTCACATTTCTCAATTTCAGCTGCAGAATGTTGATACCTGATGACCAGATGTAAAGCTGTTTACAGCTGGTCTTTTTCATCTTTCTCTCTGCAACAGTATAGCACCAATTAGCCAACTCACCCATGCGACAGCAGGCATCAAAGCACTCACGCTATCAACATAAGGCTTTCCAGTTAGAAAATACTCCTACGGAAGAATCTAAGACAGAATTTTTTTTTTGCTGCACTTGATATGCAAACAAAGTGTTAAGATGAAAAACAATGTCACTGGTGTTCAGCTCATGTGTTTGATATTTGATGGAAGCAGGCCGATAATATAGGAGTGGCAGTAGTTAGTAAGAGAAACTCTCTCCTCGTGTGTGCTCCTGGGTATACTTCACTATTCTGTATGAATATCTGTCTGTATGTATCAGTGTCCTCTGACACCGCGTGTTGGCCTTCAAAAACATCTGCCTGCTCTGCAAACCTGGCTCTGAGCTAGTGTTTGCAAATTACATGTACCTACATCCTTCATTGTTATTGCTCCGCCCCGTCGGTGTGTTTGTTTTTGTGGAGTAAGAAACAAAAACAGGTGTTCTTCTCGGTGTCATTATTTTGCCACCAGTTCATACTTGTCCTAGCTGGATCAACAAAGAAAAAAAAATGTTGCTCTCAGTGACAGACTGCTTCTGCCTCTCGGGTCCACTACAGTTCTGCATTTCCACACACTCTTTGTCAGCATGAAAGAGTTGGTGTGGGTGCACCAAGGAGGTTTCTGTGTTTGTTGTGTTGCTGTTATAGCTATATTTGTGGAGACATTATGTTGAAAAATAATATTGTGTGGAGTCGTTTTGCTGGCCCTTATTGGGAGAGAGGGTAATGTGTCATTGAAAATAAAAAGTAGAATCCCCGTTAAACAATTCTCATGCCTTGAAAAAGGGCTAAAGAAAGTATTTGGTAGCGTGTGTTTTTTTATTGTTTTTTTCTCACAAGTACAGTAGTAAATCCAATTACTGGTTGGAAATCTTTACTAGTGGAAAATAGATCCATTATGTGGTGGCAATGCAACCAAAAGGATGTGGAGTTGCTGGTGAAAATCAAAGGAGAAGAAGAAGAAGCTGGGAGGTAGGATTGGCTTCATTAGCTTTGAGCTTAGGGTTCTTCAGAGATCGACTGATGTAGGTTATAAATCTCCAAAAAAAAAAAAAGACAGGGCGGATTTACTGAGAAGACTGTGTGTGTGTGTGTGTGTGTGTTTTGAGGAGGGACAGGTGACCTTCTCCACCTGTGTATATCTTTAAAAGGTTAAGTGTGTTACCTGAAATTTGTCTAGGCTTTGTAAAACGTGAAGGCTCGAGTGTGTGAGTGTTTGTACTTCTACTCTGGTCTTTGGTGGTTCTAGTCCCACTGCTATGGGTTGCTGGTGTGCGTGTGTTTATGTGTGTACATGTGTATTGTTTCTTTAAAGGGCCTGAGTGGGGTCCACAGTCATAAAATAATGTCACATCAGCTCCAGTCACAAAGGCAGCTCCCTTTTCTTTTAGATTAAAAAACACACCCAATCCTTAAGGGAAATGTATTTCTTGTCACTGCAAAATTATATTTAATCATGTTTTTTCCCAGCTGTTTATTCTCATTTTGCTTATAAATACTAAGCATTGTCATACATGATTCCCTCCCCTGCTGCTTACAGAGATCATTCCCAGACCAGTTATGACAAGGAGGATGGAAATAAGATGCTGCTACATGAAATTATCTATTGATTTTTGCACTGTACTTGTAATAGCTGTGGTTACAGAGACTGGTGGTAAATCCCTTCAGCTTGTGCAGCAGCTGTGGGGGTTACTGAGGCAGAACACTGTTCTAGGTCATATCAGTGCAGATTAGACTTGCTAAGTTACAGGGCTGTGGAAATGAAAACAAACATCGACGGGCCGGTTATGTCCACAAAACTGCCACTTTGTAAGTGTTTGCATAGCAAAATGGACCTTAAGTGTTCAAATCTTCATCGAGTGGTCAGACCTGCAGATAAAGTCACCAAGACCAAATCTCTCTGCCCGTGTAGAGTGTGATTAATGGCAGTGAAGTGGATTTGTTTTTAATTTGGTGCCATCTTCAATCTCTTAGTCCATATGCTCTATAGAACAGACATCTGGCATCAAAGTCTCTTTCTCGTTTCCTTCTTGGATCATCCAGAGACGCACTCTGAGTCCAGGGACTCTTAACACTATAAAGCCAGACTTGTCATTGTGGGTGAACCAGAGCCTGTGAGGAAATGCAGGGAGCTTCCAGACAGGCCCTTCAGTCGGAGCCTCACATGCATTATGCTATTGATGATTTACACTTGTTTGGTGTTTTGCTGTGGACTCGAGCCTCCAGCTGGGCCACTGTGAGAATAAGAGCGTATATTTCTCAGAGGCCCAGTTGATAATGCACAGCCCCTGCTGCCCATGCAGACAGTGTCCTCATGTCATTACAGCATCATATGCCACTTTTATGGCTTGTAATAATCTGTTGACATGAATTTCAGATGACATGTGGCCAGGGGCATGAAGGAGGAAGTGTAGCCAGATCTCCACCTAGTGGCAGTCCAAGCACACGTCGCATATTTCTAAGAATACCTGACACGTTTCAGTAATGTTTAATTCTTTTATGTGTTTGTGCTCCAATTCAGGAGGGGAAGAAGAAATTTGACAAGGAAACAGAAAAATACTACTCCACTCTGGAAAGACATCTCGGCTTGTCATCCAAAAAGAAGGAGGCATATCTGCAGGAGGTAAAACCCGTAGCTGCTTTTTCGTTTCTATCACGTCTTCTGAATAAACTTACTTTACGGTTGTCTGGGTATCTACAACATTTTTTAAAAAAAAGTTGTTTTTGTGCAGCATTCTTTTGCTCATTACCTGTCAAAGTAAATCCAGTCTGTGGGTGGTGGTCTGAGCATTTACTTTGTTGTCCACACGCTGTGTCTCCAGTCTTTCTTAGGAAACTAACCCGGCTGTTGTTTGTTCATTCTCAGGCTGACACGCAGATTGATAAGGAAAGGCAACTCTTTTATGATGCGTCCCTTGAATATGTGTTTAAAATACAAGAGGTTCAGGAAAAGAAGAAGTTTGAGTTCGTCGAGCCGGTAAGAGATTTTTTTAAGTGTTGTCAATCAAAGAGTCTGTGAAGACTTAAGGCTTGTCTGCCTGCAACCTCTGTTTGAAGTATATCATTCCAGCACACATTTCCAGCACCTTTGTCAATCATTCCCCCTCAGGTGTTTCATTTACTAACTATAGTTGTTTATTGCTCCAACCCAGAGGTCTGCATCCTATGGCTCTTAGCAACAGCTTCCTGCAAGTTTAACCTGATACATTTCATATATATATATATATATATAATTGAATTTGTAAAATATTTTTGATGAAAATACCTTATTATTTTAAAAATTCTTGAACATTTCCTTGTTCATTTAGTTATTCTGTTGATTGATGACTGTTTGATTAAAAGATCTATTAGTGTATACACTGCAAGGAAATGCTTTTAATGTAAAAAAAAAAAAAAGACATTATTTGTTGTACTAACCCATTAGCAACAGATCAATGTGTCTCATTCTGAGTTACTGCACATGGTTCACACACATTTATCAAATTCTTTACACAAATCTTTTTATTATATTTTATTTTATTCTGTCCTTTTGAGGAAGCTAGCTTACATTAATGCAATGTTTGTTGTCAAAAAAAGACAAGACAAATAACCCTTGTAAATCCCTGCTCTTACTGTGCACAATGAAGTGTCAACTCTCAGAGAAGTTTACAGGAAAAGTGCACTTTTGTGGCGTTAAATGTCTATGAACGTGAGATGGGAGCAAGGTGGCTCTTTTAAAAGCCCCGAATCCCGTTTGTTTACGTCCACCAGCAGCACAGGCGAAACCAGGGCCAGAAATGTAAATCTCCAGGCACAGGTAATGCTGGGAGAAATGACAAGGCTCAGCCTTGTCTGTGATGAATCTGGTCACAGATAAGGTGGTTTATCCTTGAACATTTCATATACCAGGCCTCATCCGGGATATCAAATCTGAAGTTGCGTCTGAGGATGTGACCCTGAGCACCTCTGCGTTTGTGGGATCCTATATGCCAGAGATGGGATCAGTTCAGCAAAACTGACTCTGCTTTTTTCCCTCTGTTATCTGTGCTGTACAGAAAATAAGATCCGTATCTGTCAGATATACAGCGCGACGTCTTGTAAAATGTATTTTCTTCACTTCATCGTGTGTGCAGTATTACAATAAACAGTTTCATTATGTCTGTCATTACTTGTGCTGAGTACGTATGTATTCTCATTCATAATGATAGTTGAATTTGACCCTATTAATACAATGGATATTCATTCTGGATTTACAGAAATATCTATAGAGCAGAAGATATATGTGAAATACTATTCACAAGAATATTTACAGTACGTCACAACTACTATGAAGGATGTCAGTGACAGAAATTAATCTGACATCAACAGCAGATGGATAAAAGATTAAAACACTGGTTTTGAACATCTTATTGTTGATGTTGTTTCTTTAAGTCATTCTTCAACATTATTCCTTTCCAGCTCTTGGCCTTTCTTCAGGGCCTGTTTACGTTCTACCACGAAGGATACGAGCTAGCTCAGGAATTTGAGCCATACAAACAGCAGCTCCAGTTCAACCTACAGAATGTAAGTATCGACACTGTAGGCTTGTACATAAAGGCATCCAGCCATGTAATCACATTCTGCAGCTTATCATGCTCCGATATAACAAGCATTGTTTTTTACAAATGGATAGCAGTGCGGCTAAAAGAGATTTTGTGCTGCACAGAGGATCAATATTTCCAGAGTGCTGTGTTGCAGGCCAGTTACTGGGGGCCATTTAAGTCTCCTGTGTCAAAAAAAGTAGTTAAGAATTTTCAGTAAAAGCACAGCCACTGACATGCCCCCACCTCCATCTTTCTGCCATCACTTTGAGCTTACCATTTGCAGCCCAGGGGCTGGAATTTTGCTTTGACCTGAAATGTCAGTGCCACTGCTTTGACAATTTTCTCTACATAAGCTTCACTCTATGCCTTCCAATGCAGAGAGCTCTAATGTGAGCAAGGGAAAAAGTTGAGGCTGTCAGACAGCCTCATGGCAACCCGGTTGACTAAAAATAAGAGACAATTTAATGCAGCTTCAACAACCTGTCCTGGAGTGTTTCACATTTAAAGTTATGTGTGTGAGCATGCATGAATAACATACAGTGTATTTATTCCCAATGGATTTTATCTGGAATTCTCAGACACTTAATTCATCAGATGTTTAACATTGTGTCAGATAAATTAGGTTGATATACAGAAAAACAAAATCTCTTCGTCTTCTTACTTTCTCCCACCAAGACTCGCAACAACTTTGTGAGCACCAAGCAGGAAGTGGAGAAGTTGATGAATAGAATAAGGTCTGCAGATCAGGACTACAAACCCCCAGGCCAGTGGACGATGGAAGGCTTCCTGTACATCCAGGAGAAACGTGAGTCTTATAAGCTGGGCTCCCAGACATCAAGTCCCTCTCTCTATCTCTCTCTGTGTCTCTGTCTCTCTCTCTTTCTCTCTATGCTGCCCTGCACTGACGTGGTTTTTCTTCACTATAAATATGTCTGGAGTTCTTCTAAGCCTCTGTGAGAAGCTCCTCTGACACAGAACTCATAATTCAGCCTGTTTACGGATTTACTTTGATGCTCTCTCAAAGGGAGGAAAACCACAAATGGTGGGCTTTTATGGGCAAACAAGTGAAATAAACAACTTTGATTCATGACACATTAATTGCAAATTGATTTTCATATGTTATTCCAGAAGACTGCATTTGAGAGAAAAACACTTTTAGGTCGATTTTCTTGCTTTTTTTTTTTTCTATGTTGTTGTTCTGGTCTCAGGTCCACTGGGATGCACATGGATACGGCACTACTGTACGTATGACAGAGGCAGCAGGAGCTTCACCATGAGCAGCACTGAAAACAAGTCGTCAGGGAAACAGGTAGCTAGGTTAAGTATGTGGTGAAGGTGAATCTGGTCTGTTATTAATCTGCCGGGAAGGACTAATTTTAATTATATTTTCTTAACTTTTTTTGTTTGGTGTACAGTGTTAAAATAGTGGAGTTTTGTTTCAGAAACATGTGATTGGTCCAAGTTTAGTATGAGTTTTTGAACCTAGTATTCGAAAACTACTTAAAGTACATTTAGATTTAAATTGTATTTTTTATTCCATATTATTTGACCTATCTAAAGCAAAGTCCATTTTAACTTTATGATGAATGTAAGGTTAATTTAATCTATATCAATCATTGTTTTCTATTCTATGGCATGTTTGTTTTTTTTATATTGTTTTACTTATTTTTTTAGTCCTATTCCTAATCTTGATTTTGAGTTTATTAGCTTAACTTCACCTTCAATAAATAGTTTTGCTACATCACTCAATATTTTGGTTTAGTTTAGTTTAGCTTACACTCTAGGTGGGAAAGAATATTAAAAAGTGTGTGTGAAACAAACTGTCCTTTGAGTCTTATAAGACCGTCTCGCCCTGAAGTCGAAGAGTCAGAAAAACAAGTAGAGATGAAAGAACTGTAAATTGGTCTCAGGAAACCAAAGAAAAGTTCTAGAGGCAGTCGAATGGCACAAAGATAACACAAACCCACAAATTGAAAAATAACTTAGAATTAAAGTAACCATTTGTGTGTTTATTTTTATATATTTTTATTTATATAAGTGGTATTTACATTCCAGTTACAGGCTTTGATGTATGTTTGTATGTATGTTTGATTTTTTTCTGTTTGTTTTAATATTTTAGAACTGCCTTGTTATGAACCAACCAGAGATGTTTAAACTCAAGTCCTGCATTCGCAGAAAGACAGACTCGATCGACAAGCGCTTCTGCTTTGACATTGAAGTGGTGGAGAGGTCTGTATTTTAACTCTTCTTTGCATTGTTGTTACACTGCAGCTAAAACTCCTGATTGGTTAAAGTCACTTTTACCGTCTAAAGTGTGACAATCAGTGTTTTTTATTATTTATGACGTTTTAGGAAATGATCATTATTTCCAATATGTTTCCACTAATTACAAACAGATCTGTGTAAGTTAATTTACAAAGCAGTGCTACAAAGCTCAAGATGTGGCCCCAAGATCTAAAAGTTAAGTCATCTGCCCTAACTAGGCGTCAGAAGTAGAGTATAACTTGCATCTCAAAAAAAAAAATTAAAACAGCATGTACAAAGGTGAAAACTTATTCCATCGTAAGCTGTTTTAGCTTGACCACAAGAAGGTTTATTTTCAACTTCCACCTAGGATTTTGACATGTATGCATGAATAAGTCTCCTCCTGTCCTTTGCTTGAAAACGATGTGATGGACAGTAATCCGATTATAGAGCGTAGCTGAGCATCAACTGTAGCTTGACCACACAAAACACACATGTAGTTCTGTTGTGGTACACTAAATATATAATCTACAGGCTACTGGAGATAAAGTCATTGCACGTTGCATTCAATTTAAAGCAAATGTCAGTGATAAATGTGTAAAAGAAGCATTTTTATTAACAAAAATGTGTCCTTTGTGTGGTTTGTTTTGGTCTCATGCAATTTCTGTTCTGTTGAAGAATGCTGACCCTACCAATTAACCCAGACTGTCAAGGGAGTACTGTTGCATTTGAACATTATTTACAATTTGTTTAACATCTTCAAAGTTTCCCTGTTTACCAGTGATACATTTTTAGCACTGTTTTGTCTCCTGCATGTTCCTCTAATCCTCTCTCTTTCTCTCTCTTTACCTTCTTTTTTTCTTTTTTCTTTCTTTTCTTTTTGTTTCTGTGTGATTGTAGAAATGACATCTGTCGTGGAACTCTTTTCAGACCAATTCAGTTTTTCTATAAAGTCCGGTACGTGAACTGACCAGTGCTGTTGCATGCAATGCATGTTTTGGGGTTTGTTTATTTTCTGGGTTGTTTTTTGGTTTTGTGTGTGTGTTTGTTTTTGTTCACATTCTGAAATCTAAAATGCTGCTGCTTTCTAAGTGCTTTAACATGGGTAACACAGGTTTTTAAAAGTGAGTTAACAATATAATTTGCTGCCATTTTATGTGTTACAAACTAACGGTAGGTTAGTAGTTTAATTCATGTGTCTGACCCAGAGTTCTGTTCATTTGTATGTGCAAGCACTTTGGCAAAGGTTATTGTGAACGTACATACCAACATTGCAGTTCCCCACATAAAAGACCTTTGTGGTGATGTGAGAAATTTCCTCACTGCACCGTAAATGCCTCTTCACACGCCGTGTTCCATTTTCACAGACAGATAAGGCCTCACATCTCTCTGCAGGTTCACCCGTGCTTATTTGAACCCAGATTCTTTTCCTTTACGATATATCATCCTATTTGGAGCGTGTGTTGTTGAAGAGTACAGTCTGCAAGGTCACCAATATTTGGGCCACGTGGTTGTACTCCCAGGGCCCCAATATGATGACAGGTAATGCACCTGCTCTGTGGTGGACTTCAGGGACATGCTGATGTAAACATTATGAATTGTTCTTAAACATCTATATAAACCCACCACAGAGAACATACATTTGAAGTGTGCATACAGCATTGCAAGAATATATGTGCAAATCATGTGATTGCACATGTTACTTTAAACCAGAACGTACTTAATGTCGGAAATGCAATTTAGTCAAAAATAGTCAAAAATGGTATAAACTTTTAATTTGCCCCATAAAAAAGAGTCATGATTTTAAACTTTCAGAATAGCTAGAGGTTGATATTAAAGATTATTTAAAAAAGGTTGCAACTACTTGACTTTTTGTATTTGTATTCATATGTAGAGAATAGTAGTTGACACAACCCTGACATTGAAATACTTTAATACCGTAATTTGAATTCTTAAAGTTTGAAAAGTAAAATGAATGTGGTCTTGTCTGACACAGGTCCCTTTATTTAGTCCTACACAGTAATTAGTTCATTGACTGGTGGTGTTCTAAGAATCTGTCACCTTGCTTTGAACACGATTCATAAGTGAGTAGTATTTAATGTTGGAACACAAGATAAGGGATTTACTGAATATTAAACTCCTATGTGTAGTTGCCTGTTTATGCACAGTCACTGCATCGATCAAACCTGATCCATGGGTGTTTGATGAGGGCTCATTATTGTTCCTCAGAGTTTTACTGAGAGGATATCGTTGCACTGCAGCACTTTGGCCACCAATACTTACCTGTGGCGGTAACTGCAATTTATTTGCTGCAAAAGTCATTTGTCATAAACTGTGAAGCCCCGAGGTGCTTGTTCCAGCCACAAGGACATTGTGGGCCACGATCCAGTCAGTTACTAGTTCATCCTTTTCATCCTTCAAACATCCTGTTAGACACAGCCACAACCATTTTCTTCATGTGCGGAGTATAAGAATATGTTTAAGACAAAAGTATTACGTCGCTAAAATATATAAAGGATTTACACGTTAATTAAAAACACCCCAAAACAATTGGAAAAACTAAAAAGTGGTTATTCAAGTGTCTTCATGGGTTTTTAACTATTTTTCTTCACCAATTTACCTTTATGAGGGTCCCAATATAAAAATGTAGTTTTAACGTCCGAAAAAATTATTTTGTAAAAGCTATTTGCAGTCTTCTATCTTGTCATACAAGTACATTTGAATAGTATCACTTGATGACTTCCCTCACGAGAGTCTACTACTGTTTCATAATTGACTTCGCTCTAAACAGTCCCATGTTAGACTGTTAAGGGGGTGGCGTATAATAGTGCGACTACTTTATGTTAGTTTTTTATCCCTTCAAGAAGGTGTTTAATTTGTTATTCAAATGTACAAATTAATTATAAAATGACTTCTGGAAATATTTGAATTTCAACACAACCAGCAGGGGGTGGAGGGGTTACTGTTTCTGATTAAATCCATTTTCACACTGACATTTTTTCACTTGAGACATTTTGACAGATGAGAGCCATTTATTAAACAAATGTTGTTTACGATGACTGTGTTCCATCAAATGTCCCAGTGAGTCTGTGACACTCTGTCTGAATGTTGATGATCAGGGTTCTAAAAATAAAGTACATACATTGACAGCGTTCCTGCCCGTTTCTCAGTTCAGATTGGAGTAAAATGTACAGAACTCTTACCACAAAAATGTTAAAATATAGTTTAGAATTATTCTAAAATAACAAAAAATAACCCCTTTTCACACATTTCACAAATTGTGAAATGGTAAAAAATAAATGAAGCGTTCAAAATCGTACTGATTTTTGAAACATGTCAATTGTTTTCCTAAAGGGTTGCTGATTTTAAAATACCTTTTTAGGTATTTTTTTGGGAGAGTGGGGGGAGTTAGATCAGCAGAGCGAACACCACACGACAGTTGGTGATGTTAACTGTCATTGCTCAAAAGGCAGTACTGTTGTGAACAGCTATCACATTTTTTCAAATGCACAACATGTTCCACAACAGTAAACCCATTTCTATTTCAAAGACCAAAAACTACACTCGAAGACTACACACTTAAAGAGGCGTGCGTATTAAATTAGGAGTGAGAGTTATTTTCATTTCTTTCCCATAAATTTGCATTTGTAAGATTTGGTCTTCCTCCAGCTACATCCATTTCTTATATATAATTTATGGTTTTCTGTGAAGAAACTGTGCGATGAGAGGCGGAGGCAACACAAAGTGTGACAAGGTGGCAGCTCACTGTTAATAATGTTTTTTAACACAACAAAAGCTACGGTTCAAAATTAAAAAAAAAAAAAGCTCAAATCAAGACACTGCCATCACCGTGATTTACGGTCAGTGTTGTGTTCCTTTGCTCAACAATCCCCAGCTGAGTAGAACTGATTCTATCATAGTAAAAAAAAATGATAATAACAATAATACCCGACCCAACAAATTTACCTCGGTGACGCATGTATGGGTCACCACCCACCCTTTAAGAACCTGGCTTTAAATATTGTTCATTGCGTTAATTTTCGCAACAAAATATTTAAATCTTCTTTTATAAATTTATTGTAACACATGCAGCCTCTGCTCATACTAACTGTCACTCCTGGTGAAGGTGGTGGTTTGTTTTTGCTGTGATTTTGTTTTGTTTGCCAGTACTGTATCATCAGCTGTGTAGTAGCCTTGTTGTTGTCCTACAGCAGGGTAACATTGTCTTGTAGCTTTAGAGCTATGACATGGGAAAAAGCTGCTTAATATAAATAACAATGCATGCCGGGTGCCAAATTATCACTATTAATATTCAGCACATGTAGCTTGTGATTGGTTGTGGGAAGTGAGGCACAAAGTCAATCCAGGGTACAGTGTGATGTCAAGAATCTGCTCATAAAGTTATTTTGGTCACTCTAGTTCTTTTATAGTGGTCTCAGCCAGTGTAAACAGGGTCCGTCCAGGGCCTTTGAGGCAAAGCGACCAGACTGAGAGCTGCTTTTCTCTAAAATCTCCCCAGGCATGGTGTCATGACGTTGCAGGCCCTGTCAGAGTCCAACAGAAGACTGTGGCTGGAAGCCATGGATGGCAAGGAGCCGGTAAGGCGCTCTGCCGCTTTGTCTTCAAAGGGATTTATGTTGTGTCTCAGCACTGAGAACAATGCTCAGGCTGAAACATTTGTCACCAGTGCCCTCTCCTGGCCACTCGAGAGTAGGTATTTTTTTCACAAACATGACCTCGCCACCCACCAGAGCTGAAGATAGAGTTTCAGAGTAAACATTGTGCCTTGTTACTGTTTTCTGGAGTTTTCTTCAATTCTCATGATAATAACTTATAAAAACTTTTTTCTTTCAGATTTACAACTTGCCAACTATTCTAAGCAAAAAGGAGGAGAGTAAGTGTTTTATTTTTTCCCCTGTACAAATAAAATACAACTTTCTCAGAAGGAATGAACTGACCAGACACTGACTCTCACTTACATATACACTCAGAATTGTATATATAAAATACATATATTTTTACCACTTCAGACTAATACATATATTGTTACCACTTCATGCTATCCTCGTTGTGTCCTCATTAACACAATTATTTGACATCCACCCACTCGGCTGACATGGCAGAAACTTCCGGCTCATGGCTTGTGTCTCATTAGTGGTAGTGCGAGCATAGAGAGAGCCTATTATTCCAGCAGGATGTGTGTTTAACCCGGACTGTTGCTGACACGTCATCCCTGTTCTCCTGTTGTATTACAGCGTTTCTTAATGAAGCCGGCTTCAACTTTGTGAGGAATTGCATAGACCTGGTGGAGAAGAGAAGTGAGCCGTTAAATCTCAAAGCTCCCAAACATGGCAGTCATGACATGAGTCACTGATGCACTCTCTCTTATCATTGTGGTGCAGGTTTAAATACAATGGGACTGTACAGAATTGGAGGAGTCAACTCTAAAGTACAGAGGCTGATGACTACAGTCTTTTGTAAGTAACTTTGATGTAACTAATTCATATGTTGTACTTCTGCGCAGACATAGCAGAAATAATTTAAAGGTTCATTGGTTAACGGGCATCAGGTGTCCATCAGATTATTAGAGTTCCCCAGACAGGGAAAATTGTCAAATTGCAGCAACAATGAACAGAGGTAAATTCAATCCAACAATATACAATAAACATGGGTTCATTCAATGTTGTAAAAATATATACACCTGAATGTCAGCTGATTTCCTTAATTTCATTAAGATTTTTTAAAATATATTGTTTTAACTTAACTTTAACTTGTGTTTTTTGGCTTTATTTAAAATCTTTGTCAAAGCTTTTAAAAGTCCAGTTAAGAAAACAATATATACACACAAAGTGAAAAGTGGCCAGTAATAGATGAAGTCAAGATCAAAAGTAATTTTGGAACAATCTATGAATGTTCTGTATGTCTATAAAATACTATTGGGAACATTAGTGATTAGTTGGTATGTATGTCTATAAAATACTATTGGGAACATGCAATAACTGCAAAACTTCACATCTACAAATAAATCAATAATAATCTAATCCATATCAATTCAAATTTAAATCTTAACTTTGTACTATAAACACAACCTTCCATTCAGTAAATGTTGAAACCTGAAAAGTTAAAAAGAAAAAATAAAGTTAAACAATGTTAACCTCACAAACATGAATTATTGTTGCATTAAATATGAAGAGACATTTGAATCCTCAGTCTTTGCCCAATCCGCAGTTACTTTTCTGACTGATCAATTATTCAGCTTTTTTCCTCTGCCCTTGGTGGATTTCTTTGAAGTTTTCTTTTTTTTTTTTAATAAAAAATAAATGATTATCCTTAAATGACATGTAGAACAGCAGTCAAAGAGCTGGTATCGTGATCTCTGTGTCTTGGGAACCATTTTCTTTTTATCATCTTTTATCTCTGGTTACGGGGGAAGGGGGCAAAGCTAAAGCTCCTCTATGACCCGAAGTGAGTAAAGAGAACCACCTAGTGGTGAGACAGAGTTATAGCACCTTAAGCTTGCGCTTCTCTGGCGTTACCATATAAGTAGAACCAGCCTAAACCACCCGTTTGCTTTCATTACAAATAGAGGTTATTTGTGTGAATGTTTTTTTCCCTATATCAAATTCACCATCCATGTCAACCAGCTGGTTGTCCTGCACATTATGTTTATTCCAGAGCCTGCTGCTGATACTGTTTATATAAAAAAGCTCTGATGCTCATTTAAGCATTGAGACATTGCAGGTCACCTTGGTTTCTTTCACATTGTTTACACCTGAACCATTACAGGGATTAAAAAACAAAACAAAATGTGTTTACAACAGCTCCCAGGGCACCTGTGGACATGGTCCTGGATCCAGAGACGTGGGACAACAAAACCATTACCAGTGGACTAAAGAATTACTTCAGGTCAGCCTGCCCCGGCACCTTCTCATCCTGGGTTGTCAGGAATCATCATTATCTCCATAATGTCTCTATGATGCCTCGCCTGTGACTCACTCAGGAGGGGAGATGGATTCAAAGGCCCAGAGTTACACTAGAAATAAATGACAATGATCATCTTCTTCTTCCTCTTCATTTTTCTCAGGTGCCTCTGTGAGCCTCTCATGACCTTTAGGCTCCACCAGGAGTTCATCTTGGCTGCCAGTAAGTTATGGAACTTACATAAAATAAAACAAGTGAGGCCAGAAATACTTTCTAACGTTTCTACCATAACACCTAAATATCTTGGCTTTTTTTCAGAGTCAGATGACCAAAATGTCAGGGTGTGTGCTGTCCATGCTTTGATTCATAAGCTGCCTGACAGGAACAAGGAAATGCTGGAGCTGCTAATAAAACACCTTGTCACGTATGTATCACTGCCAGGAATTACTTTTCAGACACCTGAGTGACGGTTTTGCTCATTATGGTTGATGATTAAGTCCCTGTTCTGTCACAACGTGGTACATGATTTGCATTCAACACATCTCAGAAGACAACATCCACTTTCACTCATCTCACTTTGTCACTTCTGTCTCTTTTACCTGCAGTGTTTCCAAGCAGAACCAATACAATCTAATGACAGTGTCCAATCTGGGCGTCATCTTCGGGCCTACCCTGATGCGCTCTCAAGAGGAAACTGTGGCCGCGATGATGAACATCAAGTTTCAAAATATTGTGGTGGAAATACTTGTTGAAAACTTCAATAAGGTGGGTCTCAGTATCAATTCATGCCATATACTTTGAGAAGCTTTATATAATAAATAGTAATTTAGTAAAATTAATATGGAGGGCAGAGACAGAGGTTAATGATAAAAAAGTCTTTGAAGTCACATGTAAACAGAGACTGAAATATTACGACAGGAGCGTCTTTCTGGATTGATCAATAATGTCCCTGCTTTTAATTCCAGATCTTCCAGCAGCCTCCAGACCCTAATGTCTCAGTCCCCCAGCCACAGAGCCACCTTGGCTCTCGCCGCAACAGGGCCATCTGTCTGTCAACAGGGCCCAGGAAACCCCGCAGCATTTACACCCCGACACTGTGCCTGGCTGATGCAGACAGTGAGTACCAGAGCAGTGATCAACATCGCAGGTCATCACCATTAGTTGCCAAAACCCACCAGTGGCCTTGTCAGACACCTGCAATCCTCCTAAAAGACCCCCTAATGTTATCTAAGTTTTAGAAGAATCTAAACCACTATGATTATAAATGGCTTTGAATTTATTTTAAATCATAACAAATTACCTTCTTACTCAGCAGGTTTTAACAAGGGCTTTGCATCTGCCTTCTTTTGGTCCCTGCATAGGAGACACTTTAAGCAGCAGTCCGGGCAGCACCCCCATGGGCAGCATGGAGTCTCTGTCTTCCCATTCCTCTGAACAAAATACATCCTCCCATACTGCCTCTATCGCTCAGGCCAAGGAAAGGTCATTTCTTGGCCTTCACCAAACACCATCCAACAGCCCTGGAAGCACAGTGTGTATGAGTAGCCCAGAGTCCAGCTCCAAAGAGGATATGGGTCGCACAGATGGGGAGTCGGAGGATGCTCTCAGCACGTCCTCAGTCAGTACAGCACCCAGGTTGTCTCCTTCACCAAAAAAAGCTCCGCACATCCACAGTGACCTTCTCAGACCAGTACCTTTGCTCAGCTGCTCCCTCCCTGAAATCTCTGCATTTATTAGAAGGTGAGATTAGTTAGATCATTGATTTGATTTTCTCATTTAGCAGAAATTATTACCTGAATTTTTGATGTTCTGCACCTAAGCCAGTGTTAATATGTCAGATGATGATGCAGCAAAGTGATCTAAAAAGTAGAATTTATATACAAACACCATTAATAGAAAAGATCCACCACCATCTGTGACTTCCTATTGCCTTTACAACCAATAACGTTATGGTTCCATAGTGTAGCGGTTAGCACACCTGCCTTGCAAGCAAAGAGCAGAGCGTCCTGTGTTTGATTCCCAGAGGAACCACATCTGTAATGGCGCCTCCTGTGTGGCAACGTGTGAGTTGCAACTTTATACTAAATGGGTCCGTTGCAAAGACTCACACTGTAAATTTTCTCCTTTGTGGGGCACTCAATTATTATTAAGTATTTATTTTTTGGTGCTTTATCAATACTCAAATGGAATTGTATTTCTAATTGTATTATTTTTGGGAACTGATGTTTTTTTTCCTAGGTTCTGAGCCATTATGGATGGTCGTCAAAAAGTTATATCTACAGGATGTTATATATAAAATACACAACTTAACAAGCAAACAAGCATCTTTCAGGAGGCAGCAGTAAAAGTCATGTGATGGTTAATGCAATTAACTCCTCTGAAGACAAACATGTCCTTGGAAAAGCAGGTGAACAGCACAAATGGTCAGTTGACCAAGGATGTGTTCTACTACAGGAACAGAGTGTGTGCAGATAAGAAATCAAGAACAGTACATAATGGTCACTCTGCGCTCCGCTGCTGTTAACCACACATATTGACCACAGTCATATAAAGATCCTGCGGTGGAGGCTCAGAATCACAGAAGTCGCCTTACCTCAGAGCCTGGTTCATTTACACGTATTTAAAATGTGATTTACGCTGCGTCCCATCTCTGTAATATATTTTTAAGCTGTTTCACATTTTCCTATCATTTCTGTGTTTTAGTATTTGCAGAACTATTTTTTTTTCTGCCCTGAAGTCCACAGGAGCTACTCTGGATCTGCCCAAAGTCTGTCTTCAGTGGGAGCCAAAGAGAATTTCATACCACCTGACCACCCAGAGCTGCCCCCCAAACATGTGATCCACAAGAAGCTGGACACCTCCGTCAACAACGGCTACCAAAGACCTGGCTCAGTGTAAGATTCATCAAACAGGCCTGAATATATTGGTGATATAAATCACCATTATCATTCTCATTACATTGCCATAGGCTGATGGTCCAGGACTTTTCATTCTTCATTATTATAACATTTAGTGATGTTAAATATCTGAAATATGTCAATATCTATCTATCTATCTATCTATCTATCTATCTATCTCTCTATCTATCCATTCATCCATCCATTTATTAACCCACCCATATACTGTAAGCCACCCATGAATTTTTCATCAGTGAGGTGATACAAAAATACCAGTTACGTTGTCGTGATTAGTTGGTTTACAGAAGGACACAAGGACGCATTGAGAATTAGACAGATGATAGACTGGGCTCCTTCTCTCCTTCCTTCCCTTTCTGATCTGTCCTCCTGTTTCGTCTGTTTACGAGCGCTGAGAAATCTCAGCCATCACAGGAGTATGTGTTAGCAGATTTATGTCTCCTCCTCAGTGGTGGGAGAGCTGCCTTTAATTATGCTTTGCCTGCTCCAGGGTTGATGTGACCCAGCAGCAGTCTGCACTTATTCTCTCGGGACAAATAGATTGTTTGACTTGTCATGTCTGAGAGGGAGGTCACATGCTTTCTCAAGTGGTATCCTTGTATAGCAGCCACTCTGCCCAAGGTCCAATTGTCCCCTTGTCTCCGAGGTTGTCGTGCGCAGGTTCAAGAGCAGCCGTATGACACATTTGAACTTGGCTCAACTCCGAGCTGAATCGTGGTCCACCCAGAGGAAAGAAAACACCCGCATTGTGTCGTCACGCCTTTTACCTCCTTCTAAACAATAAGTAATGCTGGCCAGGCCAGGTCACGAAAAAGTGGAATAATTTATTTGGTCCGGAGTGGAAAGGTTACATGGGTTTAAATTAGATATCATCAAGCTTTTGTCCTGGTCCCGGGGTCATTTGGACAGATTTGATGTCTCTAAAACATTTGGTTCAATATTGTGTCCATCAGAGACTTTGCTCCAGTGAAATTGTTTAATAATTGTTTTTAAATTATTCCCAGTACAATTTTATCAATTTGAACTTTATTTTGGGCAAGCCCTTCTGGCTAACCTTGTGCTTTTTTATTCATGCTGAACCTTTGTTCTTTTGTCTTTCTTTTGGTATGTTTTTCTAATTTTATTAACGTGAAGAAATATGCCTTTTTTATCTAACATTTATTTAGCTTTTTTCATCTTTTTTGTCACTTTGGTGTTTTTATTTCTATATACCTATATTTTCTTTAATTTGGTCAACTTTTGCCAAATTAACTTTTCATTCATTTTCATTCTGGTTAAAGTTTTAGCCTCTTTATTTAGCCTGCTTTTATTTTATTTATTCTGTATTTGAATTACTTTTCCCTTTTTGTGCTTTATTTTCAATATTTATTTTGCTAAATAAATCTTATAATAATGTAATAAATTCTTCCTTGCTTTTGGATATTTTAACAACAACTTTGCTATTTAGATTTATTTAAAGTTTTATGTTTCTTAATGTCCTTATTTTTCGCTCAATTTCTTTGTCAATTATATGCTTTTTGGCTAACCTTAAGTTGTTTACTTTTTCAGGCTAGTAATTTACTAATCATTTAATAACTTTGTTTTATATTCTTGCATGATTTACTACAATAAAAGTTTTTAATAATTGTTGTATTAATATGATAAAACAGTGCTACTTAATTGTTGTTAGGGGTAATGTTGGAGCTTTTGACATCCTTAAAACATGACTTACTTTAATGTGTTCATTAAAAAGTGTAAGCCCTCCTTGGTATGGACAGTGATATACAAATATAGTTATATTTTGTGTTCCCTACTCTTATGTGAGAAACTAAGAAAAACAAATTGGTGTAACATTAAATAAACTTTATATTATTCTTTTGTTACAGGGTTGCAGCGAGAGCCCAGCTGTTTGAAAACCCTTCCTCCCTCCAGCCAAGTCCACTAGGAAGGTACTTTTAAAGAAACACGTCAAGCTCTGCAGCAGTACAGCCACATTAATCCCCCTCTTATCAACAAATCTGACATGGCATTGCCTGTTTTGGTTTGTCTTTATAGAGACGCCAAGGCGATATACTCATGCAAGGCAGAGCACAGCCATGAGCTGAGCTTCCCACAGGGGGCGACCTTCTCAAATGGTGAGCAGCGTCAGCAAAAGAAAGAAACATTAAGCTGTCTTTTTCAGTTTGGACTCAAATCCTTGCAGCTGCAGCAGAGCTGAAAAACACACACAGACTTACAGGCTGGTTGTAACGTCTTGGTGTATCACAGCAACCTCTGATTCTCATTCTTTGCTGGAGACATGAAATATTCCTGCTCTTAATGTGACATCGTCATTTCCAAAAACCCTAATAGCCTGTGGAATTTTTTTATTGCCTGTTTCTTTTTCCATGAAGGGATGACTTGGCCCATAACCAGTGCAGACAGGTCACTGTAACCTAGAGATGGAAGGCACCAGTGCCTGTTCCCTGTTAGCACAGCCAGCAGAGCCTGCAGCCAAAGGCAGAAACGTCAACAAATGCTCCCTCGCACTTACCAGCAGTCACAGCACTTTTATTGCTCTCAACAGTAAATGGCTATTTTTCATCCTTATTTACACAACAATTCAACAGGCGCTGCATTTGTTTCTTAGTGGTTACAAACAAGTTCTGGTACTTTAGCTAAATATCTTCTTATTCATGATTGACCAGATGGTGATGCTGATTTCAAGCCTAAATCCTGTCCAGACCCAGTATTTATGACAAACACTACACAAATAAATACATTATTTTAAATAATTCCCCAAGTCATTTCATACAGATGCAAATTTTTGACCAAAACGTGTTGTTTTTCTTCCCCTACGACTCATGTACTGTGTGTCTTCCTCTCTGTCCTGCAGTCTACCGTTCTGTTGAACCAGGCTGGCTCCAAGCAACATACGAGGGGAAAACAGGTTTAATTCCCGAGAATTATGTTGTCTTCCTTTAATCCGTGGTAAACAATAGCATCGTTTTCATGGTATCCATGGAAGAACCCAACCATATGGATGTCAGATGTACTTCAGACCTTGATCTACTCTTAACAGATCTATTAAGGCAATGATGGCTGTAAAAATACACAGTTGTACCTCCTCCTTTTTGCAACCACTTCAGAGCTTAATGACATTCAAATGGTCGACCCATTGACTGCACTGATGTCTTTGTCCCTCTGGTATTTCTAACAAAATCACAAATGATCAATTGCATTTAATACAGGTTTTATTGACAGAAATGGTAACAGGACACTTTCACGCTTTCCACCAAAATTGTAGGTTAACTTCAACAAAACATGCTGTGACTTTTAAAGAAGAGATGTTAACCTATACAACAGGACAGAAAAAACAATATGCCTTTGCACCTTAACCATTATATTTTATTGGCATCTTGAATGTCTTTGAATTTATAGTCCCACAAAAACCTGCATTGTGAATTGGAAGTTTTTATAAAGTTATGTTTGTTTGTTTTTTTAACATATCGGACTAAATCTACAAGAAAGATATAGGGTAAATCTGGACAACACTAGTTAGCATTCAATTACACTTCACAAATAACACGAATACTTATGAATGCATGACACTTGAGCAGTGTAATGTAATTGCTCATCCATGTGACAGATGACTTAATCTGGTTTAGGGGTACATCAGCATGTAGCCAAAGGGAGCCTTGGATCAAAGCTCTGTTTTTGCAATCTAATCCCTCCAAGGTTTTATAAATTATATAAATGCATACATTTATAATCATTACTTTTTAATTTAAAAGGTAGACTACTGAGATTGCCATATGCTCAGTACCCAGACTACACATGTTGCAGATTTGATCCTTCACAGTTTCAAGCACATCTGTAATGACATACCTTTCTTATGTCTACTGACAACAACAAACATAAATCAAGAGCGATTAAGCTACACATGAGTGACGCTGCAGTTTAGTTGTGTTGGTATTTCAGTTTTGACTTTTTATGTGTGATTGTTGTCCAACCACTGTCTCTACTCACTGCTGATGTGCACTTTTTTTCTTAACGTTTTTTCTGCACAAACTTTTTTCCTGTTACTTATCAAAACCTCATTGTTAGGTAACTCCTGTTACTTATCAAAACCTCATTGTTTCTGTATCTTGCTAAAAACATGTAATATATGTTTGTTTGTTTTTTAAGTCTTTTCAGAAAATTTCACAAGTTTTGAAACGTTACATGCTTTATCCTCACTGGTACACTGGTGTACTGGTAATGACAAAACGCTTACCAGATTATATTTGGTAAAGATGAGATTTATTATTTAATTTTATACTACTTAAATTCATAAGTAACTTTTAAAGTGTTAATGTTTTATACGAAAGGTTTTCCTTACTTCAGTTTTTACAATCTAGTTGGACTCCAAAAATGTTCTTTCTGAGCATGATAACAATGTATTTGGCAACAAGATTTTAGATCTTGCCAGGATCATGATGTTTGTTCCATTTACATCTTAAAGAAGGTGAAGTGACCTTGGAGCATTAATAATGAAAAATACTCCCTTATTGTTGGAATGTAGTTCGACCTGTCACGGAAATGACATCACTTCCTGAATATGCATGATTTGGCTTTTTTTTTTGTTTGTTTGTTTCCTTTCATAAATCGTCTTCTGTGTTTATGCATGTTCATTATTAAATAGTGTGATTTATTCAACAGGTGTGATTTATTTAACAGGTGTTTCTTATGTTTTGTACATATACATATATATGCGTGTGTGTTTATATATATACACAGCATATACTGTGTGTGTGTGTATATTCTCTATTTGATTCTAAACAGCACTTCAAACTGTGTGTGAGTCGTGTGGTCAGACAGGAGCAGACAAAAGGACGGTGTGTTGCTGGGTAATTCACCCATCAGATTTGTATACCCTGTATTAAACTATGGGTATACACATCTGATAGATAGAATTCACCCATCAGTGAGTACAGACGTGAGTGAGAAGAAATAGAGGAAAAGGCACATTCTTGACTGGACAGTGTCAGTGGAGAGGGATTACAATGCAAATTGTAAAATGTGTCGGCGACTGTTTTCAAAGGCGCAGGATGTGCTGCCACTGACATCACACAGCAATACTGCATACAATGCTACAAGGAGTGAAATCATGTCAAATACATGCAGCAGCAAAGCACAGGCAGTTAAGACGGTCTCGGAGGGTGACGTCAGAAGCTGAAAAAGTTTGCTGCGCGCTTTAAAAGCCACAGGTGTAAAAATTACTCCTAATTGGAGGCTCGACCTGGTAAAAGTAAGTGACTTTTAAAATGTTCTTCCCTGCTGTTTGTGCACAGCTTCGTTGTTTTCTACTGTGAATTTCTAAAAAATCGTTTATATCGTATTGAAGAGCTACGTCGGGATTTCTGCGCACGGAGACCAGATGGAAGTTGTCCAGCGTTAATGACACTGAAAGACAAGGTGAGCGACGTGTGGAGTCAAACTCGGGTTTTCTATTCAATGAGAAAGTTATTATTTGACAAATATTGTGCTAACTCTAAAACTATTTTCCAGATTGGTCATCCTGAAGATCTTCAAAACAGTAAGGAAGCATCGTCTTTTACTTATTTTGTTTTCTGCGGCCGCCGTGTCGCTGCTTTGCTCTGCTAGGCTACTGTATATCAATTTATAGCAAAAATATATCAATTTGTTTTTTAATTGTGTCTGTTCTTAAAGGTCTTTTTTTTTCTTTTTTGTTATGAAAAATACACAGTTACTACATTTTAACATTGGAATTATCATTTTAATCAACAATTGGACACAGAACCACATCACACAAATAAATAAAAGTCTCAACATTTTAATACATCCAATAAAAGTCTTTAGTGCAATATTATTGAAATGCAGCAAGAAGATGCTTCTCTTCTGTTTTTTTTCTAATTTCTTCGCTTTTTACTTTTTAAATCTGGCCCCCGTCTTCCTGTGTGTTCCCAGCCTTTAATGCAACGCCCCGTCGCTTCTTTCTGAGGGTCTGTGCCCCCTCCTTCCTCATATAATGGTTGGTTAGAGCAGGTGATTGGCATTTTAGTGTGCCCACTAAAAAAAAAAAAAATCTTGCCCCAACCACATGTATTGGATTCTTAGCTGAGAGCTGAGAATAAGTAGTTGAAAAACATAATCTGATAAAAGTTTGACTCTTTGAAGAATCTTATATCAGAGTTGGCACGGTAACAGGTAAAACAATGCTCTTTTATAAACATTGTTGCGTTTATGGCTCAATTCTTCGACATGAGTGACATTATTAGACTGATAAAAATGTATACATTGTTTAAAAAATACTTTTTTGGACCCAATACCTTCATGCAACCTTAAGATGCGCTACATATGTCATGTGACTAAAAATATGTTTAGACGTGAACTAATTACAGATGCCATCCAAACTGTTCAACAGTACGTGCAAGGGTTAGCATCTGTGATAGCATAGAGGAGATCAGTAGCTATAGCAGAGAGGATCAACACATGTGTGAATGTATTACTGATACAGAGGTAAATAATTTGTTGGAATTTAGAAAAGAAAAATGCTCCTGTCGAGACAATGTCCTCTATCATTACATAGAGAGACATGCTTGATTGACCTGCCTGCAGTCCAGATCTGTCTCTTGACCACAGTAAATCATCAAGTGCTTCTCAAAGAGGAAAACATTTGAAGACATTGGTGACTGTGGACTATTGAGAAGTTCAAGGCTTTTTTACAGTATGAAACAGAAATATTTATCATTTTACTTTTTAAATGATTAAAGGACATGCTACAGAATAAAGCTGGAGTTAACCAGTGGTAAAATTCAGCTTTTCTGTTGTTGTGTTGCAAATGTTAACTACTAAATAAAGTTCTAAATTACTTCTAATTTTTTTAATCTCTGAAAATAGTTGTCTTTGTTTCTTCTCCTGAGTCATGATACTGTTGTTCCTATTAATCATATTTTGAAATGACAGGTATCACCTGTGGGAATATAATTTAACACTAAATATTTATGCTGATATAAAGCACGTAACGATTTCTACAGATTCTTAAAATACACTGCGTATGAACAAATGAGTGTGATCTGTGCAGCAGAAATGGTGAGCATTATTGATTGGTGTTTATAATATAATATTCATTTTTTTGTAAAACATCAAAGTGTTGCAGGATATAGTTTGTCATAGTCCCTCCCCTTTAGATGTTCTAAAACGGTTTGATTTATTACACAGACGACTGAATAGAAATGAGACAGATGCTGTGAATTATCCAGTTGCACGGTGTCTACAGAGTTGGGGTTGTGTGTGACGGATGTCATCACTTGGTGTGGAATAAGAGCGGCCTCACCATGCCCGCCAGGACCTTGGGTAGCTGGGAAGAAATTACTTCTGTCATCATCTCGGGGAACTCCACCTTCAGGGCGTCTGCTTGGATGAAGGTGCTCAGACAAAAGAGGTTGACCTTCTTCACGATCTGTTGGTGAAGAGACAGTGACGTTGGTCTTTGTGATTAGGCAGCATCATGATGTGCATTAATGCATTTGTACTCAGCTGTTTGAGGAGACGTACATCATGCATGAGGTCCATTAGTTTGGTGAGGCGGTAGAATCTCTGTGAGCTGGCCACCATTCCTTTCTCCTTTATGTGAATAGCCCTCGTCAGCTCCCGAATGTAGCTTTGTCTCATATCCTCAAAAGCAGCCTGACTCTTGAGTCCCTCGAGAGGCACTACAAATATTTCCAAAAGCAACATTGTTTTTATTAACTATAAATTGGCAGCATGAATGTTGAATCTACTACAAAAATATGTCTGCAAATCTCCATGCTGGACATTTCTATATTAGGATGTCATGGCAGCAGCAGCAACAGCAGCCGCTAGTTGCTACATATTTTGAAATAGTAAATCAGTACAAGTCTTGTTTTGGAAATAATTTTTTTTTCACCTGTATTGAGAAGAATAATGGCTTTCATGCAGAGAAACTCCTCACGCGTCACCTGGAGATTTGTGAACTCCTGGGGAATGACCTGCATGGCCAGACACAGGTCATAAATTGGTGTCCTCCTCATTTGATCCCTGAGGCACAAAAAGGAAACTAATTGATAAACAGAACAAAAAACACAGAAGATATGTTATTCCGACTGTTAAATAGTATCTTTGTGGTCATGGTTACTCACTGGCTGAGGATTAGATCAGGAGCGAAGTACAAATATTCACTGGTGACATTTTGAAAGGAGCGCCAGCCAAGAGAAAATACCATGAGGTTCATCCATGAGTACTGGATGAGGGTCATCTGGTCATTGATGTGAAGATTACGGAACCCTAGAATAGACAATAAGGAGCTCCTTCACTATCAAACTGCAGTTAAAATTAAAACCACCATTAAGCTGAGGGAGGAGTAAAGGTAGATGGATAACAGCATCATTGTGCATTCAGCTGAAAGTCAAAATTCTTCAACATACATTAAGAAGGTTAGAGTAAAAATATTGTTAGAGTAAATTATTTTTTTTTATGTTTATGTGTACTGTCTGAGCCTGGCAGATTTTTCTTGTGCTCTAGTGTTTCAAAAAAAATGAAGGACCAAATGTCTCTCTGACCTGTGTCCGTAAGTGTAATGCATAAAGCAAGAGCCATCTTCTTGGTTAAGCTTTGACTGACTGTGATTAGTTTCCATTCCACCATTAATGAATGTGTTTGGTGGATGTGGGCCATTTATTCATGAACAAACACGAATGACGGGCAGGCAAAGTTTTGAAAGGTGGCAGAGAGGCCTGATCTAGACCAGGTCACACTGACATTAGACACAGACTGGAACTCTGACGTGGGAGTCATTACCTGGCAAAGACTTGGACCACCTGACGATCCGCAGCAGTTGCTTCTCACACAACCGATTAAGACTTGTTAGCAGAACGTTGGAAACTTCAGGCTGTAGGTTGTCATGACCGGAGCATGTGACGTCTGGTTCAATGTTTTCAAGGATGCTAAGGATCTGTGGGTTAAAGTGCACATCTTGGATGCCTGGTATGCAAGCCATGGTGGTCAGGGCCTGGCTGTCACCAGACATTGCCATGTGAGACTGGAACATCAGGGACGAGGGCAAACCGAAGGCTTTTAAGGCTCCAAAACGTTTCAGTTTCCGGCCTGTAAAAGTAAGACCATGTTGTGTTCTTGAATCGACACAGAGCTTCAGTTAACTTTCCTCTTTTAAAAGATTAAATCCCTTATAATAGAATATGCATAAAGGAAATTCCCGAAGGATTAACAAAGTTCTATCTAAAAAAACATTTTGCTGTAAAAAAATTTCAGATCTGCTGTTTCTGCTGCATAACTTATCTTAGTACTTAAAATTACATGTAACTGTAATGTAGTTGGATTGCATTAGCTTTGTGTCAGAAGGGAATAGAACCCAAGGCTACCTCCTAGCATCATCCCAGCTTCATAGCACTTCCGAAGGCGACATGCAGGGCAATTTTTCCTCCTGATTTTGTCCACAATGCAGTCGTTCCTCCCAGCGCAGAGATAGCTGTGATGACCTGTTGAGTGAAAAGTGACAAAATGCACACAATTTTTCAATTTTTTTCAAAAACCTTAGTCTTGTTTTGTTTGTTTTTTTTCTTTCAAATTGGTAGCAAGGCAGAGACACGTAATGAGGGGAGAGCAACGCTGAAGGGCTCTTGACTATTAGCATGGCTACTTCACTTCACACGGCAGCATTCAGAAGAGAGAACCTAAAGAAGAAAATTGGGTAGAGGAAAGGCTGTGAGGACAGAGTGACACAGCCCTGGTGAGACATAGTGGCTTTTATATATCTCACATCTGAAGATAACAAGGTAAAAACAAGTCTAAGATGAAGAACACGGTGAACATTGGTCAGTGTGATACTGTAGCTAATGACCTTTTACCAAGTACTGTTGAAGGCCAGAGAAATATGATGTAGTAACTCCCTGTCTATGTAGCACGGTGTTCTATGCAGATCTTTGATAAATTACATAAGAGTTTCTTTTCCAGAGGCTATACACACACACACACACTGAGAGAAATCAGCAAACTTGAAAAGATACATTGTGATGAGGGAGACAGAAGTGGAGAGATCTAAGAAAATCCCTGATAACTGTGACAACAGCTCAGCTTATTTTAATAGTTGATGATTGTCGAGATTTTAGGACTTCATGGCAAATCAAGTATTATAATGAAAACGGGCTCAGCAGTTTCCACTGTGATGTTTAAGTAATATTAGGGAGCATTGGTGCATTTTAATTACTAATATTGTTTTTTTATATATATTGTGCACACGTTTTTAAATATGCTTCCATATCTACTTAAGGAACACACTAAGGCAGTGCTTCTCAAATAGTGGGGCAGCCCCCCCTAGGGGGGGCGAGGTCGGGTACCAGAGGGCTGTGAGGGGCTTCCAATGGAATATGGCACACTGGACATAAATGTACTGCTGTTATGCTTGAATGATAACAAGCCTCCAGTCACTAGGTGGCAGCAACTCATACAATGGTTTGTACATATAAAAATATACGTTATCAGGTTCTCAATAGTATTTCAATTGGGGTCTGAGGGTGTGTGGGTCCGGGGGGTTTGAAAACAATTCTATCCCCAAAGGGGAGCATGACAGAAGAACCACTGCACTAACTTGACCATGCTTATTATAGCCTGTAATGCAATATTTTATGTCATGCCTTGATGTTAAGTTGTTCAGGAACATGAGAGAATGCATGAAAACTGTATGTGCGACAGGGATCCATATCCTGTTGTGCTGAAAATTTAACTAATTAACTCTATTTCATAAAGGGGTTAAATGATCAAACTTTGTAGAGTTTTTCAAATTATTAGTCCTTTATTCTAGATAGGGTAAAATTGTCATACTTTAGATGAAAATCATTCTGTTTTTAGCAGAAATAGTATTTTAACAAAAATAGAACAACAAAATTAGTTTGTTGTTTCTAGCCTCGTTAAAAAGCCTAATGTAAA